CCCCACACACACACCATAAGATAAGATAAGATACATCTTTATTGTCCAAATCCTGGCACATTGGTTCGGTGTTTCACCACGTGTACACACACACACACACACACACACAAGGGCGCGTGCGTGCGCGCACACACGTGCGCACACACATGCACTCACACTTAGGCTTACAATCACATGCATATAAATGAGCAGCAATATAAACAATAATAATCGTAAGCTAAATACACACTCTTCGTTATTTTGATGCATGCTCTAAGGTCGTAAGTATACGTATACATCAAATATTGAAAGTCGAGTGGACTCAGGTCCGGATCGTTTGGGGTCCAGTCGCGCTCATTCGGAGTGACTGTTCTATAAACAAAATGGTGGCTGATCCGTCGCAAAACAGCTTTGGCGTTATGGTGAGCAGCCCGGTCTTGTTGGAAGTTCTAGTTCAGTCTCTCCTCATCATCAACGAACGGTTCCAATCTTCTCCCTAATTTTGGTAAGATGACGAGGTATTGGTGACCGAATCACGGACCACCGTAACCTTTTAAAGAGTGTGTTCCTTATGTGAGAGGTGTAACACTCATGAAACCAAAGATGAATTTCACTTTATTTTCAAATGTCTGTACTTTGTCCATCAAAGGAAATTGTTAATTCCTCTTAGACTGACTCAGCCACGTGACAGAAATATGCATTATTTGACCCATGATGAGAGATTAGGGCACCACCTGTACTTTTTCATTATGGAAACTTTATCAAAATGAGTGTTCCTTGGTATGTGATGTGGGCCAATGGCCTTAAAACCTGAATAAACTTACATACTTAAAAAGTGCGTTGCTCTTACTGTTTGCCTAACCTGTGTTATTCGTGGATTAAAATTTGTGTTCCATTCTTCTATGGACCCAAACCTTTTGAAATCTGCAGCCCATTTCAAAATGAACGTTTTGCTCGGAACATGATGTTTGGTACAGATACCTATCCTGTATGCCCGAGCAAATAAAGCACAGGTCGATTTGGTAGATTTTGTTTGTTGACATATCTTCACTGCAAAGGCTTGATGTACAAGGGTTAGCTGTTTCATCATCTTTCCTTTGTGCAATAGCAATGAACTTAAAAACAAAACATAACCCGGATGCATGTTCTAGATTTGGGTTAGTTTTGATGTCAATTGGATCATAAACAAGACTGTTATTAATATTTCTTTGAACGAACTTTTTTTCTGGGCAGCTGGTATATTATAAATGTTGCTTTATTTTAAGAATTGTGTATTTTTGTATCTTTTCGTTTACTGATAGATGAACAGAATGGTTCTCTTTATTCGCGTGTCTGTTGTAATGTATTGAGCAATAACATAGTCACCCGAGCTCCTCTCAGCATTCTTCCAGCTATCTGGTCCACTCTAAAGAAGGTTTGATGACCCCTGGTCTAAAGTACAGCTACATTCTTCCCACAGCGACTCTGGTGGCCCGTGTCCCGACTACGATTGTGTACCCATATGTCCTCCTATAATGATGCCCACGTGTCTACCGGGATTTATTACTGAAAAACAGTAAGTAACGCCTTTCATTATTTTATACTTCAGTTCTGTTTAGTCTCCTATTTCCTGAAAATTATTCTTTCGTTTAAAAGATATGATGCCATCGAGTATACATATAATATATAAGACAAAATTCACCATTCATTGGATATACAATGTATGCCCAATCTATCAATATTGGTGCCCCTCAATACACGGGCGAAATCTATTTACGCTTCTTTGATTTCGCACAATTTTGCAAAGCCTGATTTTTAAGGTCAGTTTTGAGTGACCATGTCACGGGCGTCTAAGTCTAATTATAAATGAAACGTTACTGTGTCAGATGATGCAACATTTATTCAGCTTTAAATTGGTATGCTGTTTAAATGGGAAGTGCAATGCGTTAACACGATGACTGGGTGATTGCAATTTCAATGCTCTTTTGGACTCCACTGTAAATATATATATATATATATATATATATATATATATATATATATATATCAAGGACTACTATACTCAAGGACGTGCACAGTCGGATTCCTGACTTGGCTAGCGAAGGCCATCGCGTCGAACACTCCGGATATTCCCATTCTGACCCAGTGCCTTATCTTTAGCTTTGGCGCGTTCGTAGGAATCGGGGACTATTTATCGCCTTTGAAGTATAAATGAATCCTATCTATATAATTCGTTGATCTTAATAAAAATGATGCAGAAATGAATCAGATATTGAAAGGTGTCAATATTTTTATTTTTGATTAAGATTCCAAGCAAAGAAATGTAAGCATAATTATGGACACCATTTAT